ATGTATAAGATTTGAAAAGAGATCGACAAGAGTTATTTTTCGAATCATCATATTGACAAATATCTCGTATGAAGTTAATGTTATTTGAATATTATAATACAACATGAGATGTAATTCACCAAAATTGCGATATTGAGGACACCGACATACAAGACAAGGATGAAAGATACAAGAATTGAAATCAGAGGAGCCGCTATAGTATTTTTCCTTCAATCAAGTTTTACTTTTCTGAACTTTCTTGAAAATGTTTTAACGAGACGGATATTTAGTAATGGTCATTCAAGGGAGAATATTGTAAATAGTAAATTTATTAGTAAATGACAATTATACCTCTTAAACCTTAGTTATTATTATCATTGTATCCCTAATTCTTCCCTATAAATATAAGATTTTTTTATTCTCAATAAAATGCATGCAAGTATATTAACTCTTATTATCTCTTCACTTTATTTCTTTCATAATAATTTTGCCTATGTTTGGGCTCTATTTTTTTCAAAATACATTTTTTTCTTTTTTTTCAACTACAATTTTCCAATAAAATAATATTATACGTATATGAAATTTTTTGCTTATTTTTCAATCACACTTTCTCTAAAATATTATTATTCCTAATTACATTTTTAACCAAAAGTGGGGGCTCAAATAAGGGCTTTAAAAGTCAAATTTTAATTTTAATCACACTTAATGAAGTTTACAGGTTTTACAAAACACCAAAGGTGGTCTGACTTGGCTGCATTATTAAAACAACAAAGGTAGACTCGCGTTTGGAATGTTAAACACGCTTATGGTGTCCCTAATTATGCGTTTGGCATAGATTTGTGCCATTTAGTGAGGAATATCCCTAATTATACCTTGAGGTGCTGACAAAAAACTGAGGGACCTTCTCATAGGATAGTTGATTAAGAGATAGAGTTAGCCTATTCGTTATAAGGAATCAATGCTTCAACATCGGACATTGATTTCAACGTGAAATTTAATCTCTTCGATCCTTTTGATCCAGAAAATCAGGTGATGATTTTGTTAAAATAAAATTGGATCTTTAAGGATAAACGTAGAAAATTAATATGGCATTTGTTGAAATACTACGCTTGTGGAGTCAACGATCAATCTGGTCTTGATTAGATGCTTATTAAGCAAACTGGTGGTCTTAATTATAAATTAATTTAACGATATTAAAGCGATTTTTAATGAAATGATGTGGTAAATCTATTGCTTAATCATTAAGATTAATTTTGAAGCTCCTATTCGTTAATAAATAGTATAGTAACGTTAAGTCTTAGAATTTGAATGCGATCGATGACACCATTAACAGCAACGACCGATCGTAAATTTAAAATTTTAGTGTCTGTTTGATATGACTTCAGATAAAAGCTAAAATGAGTTTTCGAGATCCATTTAATTAATTTTGTAAAAGTATTATTTTGTTACTTAATTTAGTTTTTAAAAGAAATTGACTCAATATAACTTTCTTTAAAAAATTTGTTTTAAAGAAAAATCTCTATTAGTCTTTTAGAAATTTGTTTCCAAACATTAATAAAGATATCTTCTCTAAGAACTCTTTTATAGAAAACAGAAAGAAAAGTAAAAGCAAAATTCGGCCAAACCGATCTTTTTAGTGTATGTTTGGTAAATATTATTAAGGTTAATTTAAATATGTGAATTCTATATAATATGTGGATGAAAGTTATAAGTCTTATGAAAGGTACATAAAATAATATTTGATCAACTTATAAGCTTGCAAACACTTTACCAAACATGCTCTTAATGTCTAATAGGCAGTAAAATATCATTCCATTAGAATGGATAATATATGGGTAAATAATGTTAGTGAATTTTTTCGAATATATGATTGAAAATAAATTTTATTAATTATAAATAATAAATTATTTAATAACGTAACACTAGAATTGAGATAGGAATTACTCAAACATGAAGTCCAAGAATTTGAATGGAATATACCATGGACAGTTATTTATTTGTAATTTTAATGTGAAATTAGTGTATGTATGTCCTGATGTCCAGTAGTATTTTACAGTTCGAATAATAATTTTTTTTTTTATATTGAATATTATATTATTATTTTTAATATATTAAATATCTCTTTCTCTCCCTCCCTCCCTCCAGGGACAGATTTGGGGGGATCCCTCACTCAGGTCTAAGATTTTTTTAAGGGTATTTTTTATTTTATTTTATTTTATAAAAACCAGTTTTTTATGTGTAAATTTTATTTTTTCGCGTATTAACCCGATTTGAAATTTTTTAGCACGGTCTTGAATCCAATCTTGGATCTGTTTCCTCCTCCTCCTCTATTCATATATATTGAATTAAACAATATTAAGATTGATTAAGAAAAAAATAGATATAAAGATGTGTAAAAACGATTGTGTCAGAACTATATACCTGTTATTTTCGTTACAAATGTTTAAGTTTATTTTGTTATTAAATTATGTTTTGGGTCCTTAAGATGCCACCAAAATTTGAGACAAGAACAGGTATATATTGTCCAACTGTATAAATTATGTTGTTTTGTTACAAAGTTTTAAGTTAATTTTGTTATTGTTTGCCCCATTTTTGTGGAGAAAGTGAATTTTTGAATAGTGTATTGATGGAAAATGTATAGTTAAAATATAAGAAATTTTTTTTGATTTGCGTATAATATTATTTTATTGAAAATGTGTGATTAAAATATTATCAAATCACTGTTGAAAAATATATTTTTGTGAAAAAATGCGGCTCAAACAAGGGCTAAATTATGTTTTTGGAGCTTAAGATGCCAACAGAATTCGAGACAAGAACAGGTACAACGAAAGGGACATGCACACGGCTTATTTTTTCCAAAACAGTATGATTTATTACAAGAATGACAATATTGCACATGGATTAATAATGATTTCAAATGTTGATTTCTTGTCACAGCTGTAAATTGCAAAGTAGAAATAATAGGAAAATGCTATTTTTTTTAATATTAATTTAGCGTTAAGGTCAAGTAAATTATTTATTCCAAATCATAATGTCTTTTTCCTTAAGGTAAGTTAAAAAAAAATTGATATGGCCCTCAAAGTTGACTTTGAAAGAAAAGGCTACATTCAAACATGAGTTTCATGTAATAGAGAGGATGTAGATATAGAGGGATATGTAGATAGATATAGAGAGAGGAAGAGGCCTGAGTTTTCAACATGTTCATAAAATTTAGAAATAAAACTTTCAATTATTCTATAACTTATTGTTCAAGTGGCAAGTTAATCAAGAATCTTTAAAAAGAGCAAGTTGATTCTTAATCTTTTATCATAGTAGTACCATTAGTTTCCACATTCTCCCTTCCATCGGCGAAACTTACCCGAATCTCTTTTAATTGTTACGTAATCACGTATCCAACTTTATAAAATTATATTTTACTTCTGTTTGAACTATTAACTGGATATTTAAAGTTAGATATATTTACACGAGATTTATGGGTGGTTTAATAAAAATTTTAATTGCTTCAATTGTAAACTGATTATGTAATTATCATAAAATGTTGAAGACTAATTTTACTCTTTTTTAAAAATTAAAGTCTAACTTCCTACTCGAACAATAATTTATTGTTCGAATTCTTTGAAGCAAAATTATGTCCACATTTGTACGTGTTGCTTTTTCATGATATATACCTCTCCTCCATTTCAAGCAATAGGATTTGTGTAACATGAACTCAATGCTTTATCTAACAAATGAACACAACTTGCAATATAATTTAATAACTAATAATCAAGATTTTACACTTAATCATGCTCTAATGCGTTGAATTTTTGATCAATGATTGTGCTTCATTTAATTATTTCTTCCAAATCGATATGGATCACAAGTTTGAGTATGAATTTTGGAATTTTCTCTTTTTATATAACGTCAATAGTTTATTATATTTCTTCGCACTTTCATGTCATGTCTAGTATAATTGATGGGATGGGATGATTAATAATTTTTTACGTATTTTTTTTTATATAATACCATTATATTCAATTCAACGTATGAAACATGCTCTCATGTTATGATAGATATGAACAAGTGCAAAAATTGTTTCTTATTTCTTTGATCTCGTAATGTTTCTGAATTATTGAATCAAGATAGCCAATAATAAATTAGATATATTTTCTACAAGAAATTTATGATAATTTATAGGGGATGAACATTTAGGTAACAATATGGTTTGAAATTTTGGAAGTGGTGATGTATGGCATTGCCTTGATTGTGGCCACTTTACATCATTTGCTTTACTTGTATTTTAACTATTAGTTCTAGAAAGCTCTCATCACCATAACGTATTTTATATATGGCGACCTCTCATCTAAAAAGAAAATGATCACATGATTTGAAAAACAAAATAATAATAATAAATTAATTAATTAATTAAAATTTTATATTTTGAGAAATGGCACGTAATTCATCAATTTCGCAATAATAACTAAAAGGATTATGAATTGAGATTCCGATGTACATTAGTATAGATGATCGCAGGGAGAAACTACGAAAACCAAAGCAATAGTAGAAGCTATCTTGAAAAGCGATACAATACGTTTTATATACAAATTAAATATAATATATAGTAACATGTTCGATAGCATTGTAAATTTTCGAATATGCATGGATCACTTTTGATATGCACGTAACATGCAAACATCAGAATTAGATTTATTTTATACGCAAAAGAATTTTATATAAATAAAGAATTTAATAATTTTTGAAAAAGGAAAAGTCACTTTCTATATAATGCTCTTACAATATTACACATTTACCCCATTATTGAAGTGTAATCGACTTTAGATTGAGAAAAGTTGAATTAATTTAATTGAAAAAATAAAAGTAACAAAAGTTGGGGCAAAAATAAAAATTATTCCCTACCTAATCTAGATTTTGCCTTGACCTTGCTTCAAACTCATAATCCAAAACGGCTGTTTAATTTTGTATTGACGCCGATTTATTCGCAAAATCGCAACTAACCCGCGCTGTAAGATTACTCTCTCTACAAGCCCTTTACTTCTTTCTCTCTCTATATGTATATATGTATGTATAGACGCACTACTCTTCGGTAAATTAACGGGCATCTTCTCTCTTTATTCCATCTCCCTCTCACTGACTTTTGTAGTTCTTTAGGGAGAAAAATCCTCAAAGCAACACATTTTAGAGTGTTGAATTGAATCTCGTCCTCCTCTCGGAAAAAAGATCCTTTTTTTTTTCCCATAAGCCAATTTGCCAAAAAACTAATGTAGTCTTCACAGATCTTAACCCTCTTTCTCATACATAATCTCTCAAAAAACCCAGAAACGGAAGTGGGAATCTTTTTAGGTATTTACCATTTTTCTGTTTTTTTAATTTTTGTAACAAAAATGGTGGTGAAGATGATGAGGTGGAGGCCTTGGCCTCCTCTGATTTCAAGAAAATATGAGGTGAAACTCACGGTGCAGAGCCTCGAGGGCTGTGATTGGGTGCCAGAGAGTGCAGAGAAGGATAATGGTGGGCTTGCAGTGGAGATCAGGTGGAAGGGTCCCAAGATTTCTTTGGGTTCATTAAGGAGGACTGTGAAAAGGAATTGCACGAGAGAAGAAATTGTTAAAAGGGTTGATGGGACAGACGGTGGGGTTCTTGTGGAATGGGATGAGGAATTTCATAGCGTTTGTAATCTTTCTGGATACAGGGAAAATGCATTTCATCCATGGGAGATTACCTTGACTGTGGTGCACGTGAGTGCTTTTCCTTTTTGTCTTCAACTTTCTTGTTGATTCAAAATTAGCATGTAGATTCTTTTGGGGATTTCAAAATTTCCCCCTTTTGGGTATTTGCCTATTTGGTAAAGATTTGTGTTCTCGAGAATGATAAATTTTTCATGGATTTTTTAACACTTCAATATATGTGTTATGGGTAGTTGTGTGTGATTTGAGGATGTTTTGTAATCTCTATGGGGTCAAAGACATTGAATCTGTTTACACAAGAATGCTTCTTATTTTTGTTAATTTATCTCAAAATTTGAAAATGAAAACGAAATAAAGGGGGAAATGTTTCAGCGAATGCAGATCATCTTCCGGGCCTCTCCACTTTGTGAGTTGTCGATGAGGACTTTGGATTTGCAGATATACGAATTTTGATTGGAGTCAATGTGTCTAGAAATGTTTATGGTGCCTGTCTATTAAGGTTAAACAAGTGCAATTGATCAGCAGGATGGTTCCGCTAATGTACCTATATTTGATTGATATGATAGATTTCTTACATTCTTAGGATGATTGCCACTTGTTTGGCAAAATTTTTGCTTTTTTGATAGGTAATCATATAATTTATTAATCAAAGGATAATACACAGGAAGTGTACACGACTGTTCCTTTCTCTCCACACACACCATATAATGTATCTCGAAATAAGATCCCATACGAGCCTACTATTTTTATCACGAAGTTTTCTCCTTCATGCCCACAACACGTCTTCTATACACCTAGACAACACCCAATCCAAATGTTTAGAAGCTAGAATACAACTCCACAGCCACCGAACACAATCACAATAGACGAATAAGTGGTCAATCGTCTCCCCATCCCTCTTACACATATAACACCACTCGATAACATAAAAACCTTTTTTTCGAAGATTATCCACCTTTAACGCCTACTGTCTCACAATTGTCCACAACAAAAAAGCTATTCGTGGAGGCAATTTACATTGCCACATCATCTTCTAGGGGAATGAACTCTCCACAGATCCCAGTGTGGATCTAAAATAAGTGCGAATTGAAAAAATACCATCTCGTGCCAGTCTCCACCTACTATGATCACCCTCTCCTACTCGAATGTGCGCCTCATGTAAGGAGGTTAAAAATAGCGCATAATCATCCAATTTCGAATCTTATAAACCCCTCAAAAAAATAATATTCTAGATATAACTTCCATTGTGTATGGCTAGTGCATCATTCACCACAGCAGAAGGCTCCAAAGTAATGTGATGCAAGGAAGGAAACCACACCTCTAGCTGTTGATCTCCACACCAACAATCATCCCAAATTCTACTATTATTACCATTCCCCATCACATAAATCAATTCAACTCGAAAGTCACTTTATTCTCATCGGATATACCTCCACAAACTTAACCTATAAAATTTATGATCCTCGATCGAGCACCAATCCCCTTCCATCTCATCGTACTTCGATCCTATGATTTCTCTCTAAACACACTCAATCTTCACTCCAAATCACTACAGCTACTTGTCTAATAAAACCTTATTAAACAGAACAAGGATCTTCAATCCAAGACCCCCATCCTTACGGGAGAACAGACCACACCCCAATTAAACCAAATGAAATTTTCGCTTCCCCCAATCTTGTCCAAGGGAACTGCCTATTTTCCACTGTAACAGGAATAGAAAATAGTGATAAAAAATAAGTAGGGAGATTAGAGAGAGTGAATTTAATGAGAGTAAGGCGGCCTCAATTCAAAAGTTACATGTGTTTACACCTCGCTAAATCTTTTCTCCACTCTTTTGACAATTTCATTCCAATATGTTTACTTTTAAATCTTGCCCATAAAGGGAGTCCAAGATATAGCTTAGGTAATTTCTCAACTCTACAACCCAGTATATCGGCCAACTTATTAACATTAGCAATCTTTTCCACTTGAATAGCCTCGGCTTTTCCCAAATTTACCTTCAATCAAGCATCCTATTGAATGCCTCCATACCAATAACAAACAATAATGGAGACAAAGGGTCTCCTTGCCTCCAATCTCTACTGCTTCGAAAATAACTCTCCAGGCTGCCGTTGACCAAAACTGAGAACGAAGCAGTAGAGATACAAAATTGAATCCATTTACACATTTTTTCTCAAAGTCACATCGCTTAAGCATATACAAAAGGAATTCCCCACTTCATGTGATCATAAGCTTTCAAATATCAAGCTTACATAACATCCCTGTCACCCCAAATGCAATCTTGAGTCAACGCATTTATTCGCTATAAGCACAGAATCCAAGATCTGCCTCCCTTTCATAAAAGCATTCTGAAACTTAGACGTCACTTTTCCCATGACCTCCTTTAATTTAGTTGCCAAAACCTTTGCAATAATCTCGTGCTCCCCACTGACTAAGTTAATAGGGCGAAAATCATTAATGTCAACTGCTCTCAATTTCTTAAAAATTAGCACAATAAATGTAGCGTTAGAGCTTCTCAGGAACTTGCCACACTCAAAAAAATAGGAAAAAACATCTATAATGTCAGGTCGCACCACCTCCCAACAAACCTTATAAAATTCAAATAAGAAGTCATCTGATCTTGGTGCTGCCTTATCATCATTCATGCCGAAAACCATCTCCCTAATTTCATCTTTTCCAAATGATCTCTCTAACCAATTGACTTCCTCCTTCGTGATAGTAGAAAAATCCAGTCCTTCAAAAACTCTATCTTCTACTTAAGCTGGTTCGCAATAGAGAATTTGATAAAATCTCACAATTTAGTTCCCAATATCCTGTGAATCCTCATAAGTAACCCCATCTACTTCCAACAATGTTATAGAATTATTGCGCCCATCAGTATTCGCCACCTTATGGAAAAACTTGGTGCATTTGTCCCCCTCTTTCCACCATGTTACTCTAGATTTCTGAGGCCAGGTAATCTCCTCTATCTTCACCAACTTCTCCAACTCTCCTCTTAACCCTTCACGTCTCTCCATCTCCTCCCTCCTATCTAACTTCTCTATGTTTGAAAGACACTAATTTTTATGCCAGTTTACATTGCCCACCACCTCCTTATTCAACCTCTTTAGATCCCCTTTCAAAGTCTTCAATTTTTGATCCACCACATAATTGGGAGACCCCTGAAATCATACGAGGCCCACCAAGTCCGTACGCACTCCCTAAAACCTTCAACTTTTAACCATATCTTCTCAAACCTAAATGCCTTTCTTCCACTACCCCTCATATTCCCAGATAATAACATAGGGAAATGATCAGAGTACAGTCTCTCTAATTTCCTTTGAGTGACATCTAAGTACTTAGCCTCCCACTCCCCACTAATCAAGAACTGGTCTATTCAAGATTGAACGGGTTGGTCCTAATTAGATGACCAAGTAAAAATCTATCTACCCCAACCGCCGGCAAATCCACCAACATATTCTTCCTAATAAAATTTGAGATGTCCTCCATAGCCCCTGTTCGTCTCCTACTACTAGACCTTTTAGTAGGAAATCGAACTACATTAAAATCACCCCCATACACGTTGGGAGATTCTATCAAGCCATCATATCAGCTAACTCGTCTCACAAGTCTCCTCTATTTTCATTAGCAGTAGGACCATAAACTACTATAAACATCCATTGGAATCTATCCCCAATATTTCTAAATGAAAGCAATATAAAAAATAACCATACACTAATCTCCTCCATATCAAACACTCTAGTATCCCAGATGACTAGCACACCTTCTGAAGCACCTAAAGACCCTAAAAACTGATATCCTACATACTGTTCTACTCATAAACTGCTAACCATAGCCCTTGAGACAAACTCCATCTTTGTTTCTTGTAAACAAACGAGGTTTGCCCTTCATCCCTGTATGAGATTTCGAAAACCTAACTTTTTCCACTCTTCATTAAGCCCCCTATGATTTTTAGGATCATTTCAACACTACGTCATCATTCCCCAGTAGTCTTCTCTTTGACTCTCCACCCTTAATGTTATAATTTACTGACCATTCGAGCCGCTTAAATTCACGGTCACCCATTATTCTCGATTTACCTCCACATGTACTTGTCCACTGTCCCCTACTAGTCTCCAGTTCCTCAAATGGTTGTAGGAGTTTACTTTCATATCCAACACAAGACATACCAACCATCTTGTTGAAATCTTGAATTTTTTGAAGAACCAAATTAAAAGGTGAGGCTGCAATCGCATTCAAAGAATCAAGCATATGTCCCTCCGCTTCCTCCACCGTACTACATCGCTATTTATTTTCCCCTTCTTAGCACCATCAACCCACACCACCAAAGCTTTTTTTTTGGACCCTAAGTAGTAGTTAAAGCAATAAGAGTTCATTGAATGGGTTTCACCACTTGTTAAAATGCTTTTTTTCCTTCTTTTCTTTGTGTAGTTGCCACTTGTCAATGAATTCATTGAAATTTGGTAATAAATTTGTTCAAATGTCTTTGTTTTGTTGGCAATTGAATTATTTAAGCCTCTATTTGGATACAATTTATAAATTGATTTATATATTTAGTTAAAGTCAAATATTGATTTCGACCACATATTCATAACTACTCATTATAATCCACACATTCTGTGGGAAACCATTTATAGATTTGCTGAACGGAGGCTAAATGTTTGAGCAGTTAATTGAGTTTGGTGGTTGTTTTGTGGCTATTATTATTTTATCTAATAAACAAAACTGAGGGTTTTGGAACTTAGCCCCCGTTTAAACCATTAAAACAAAGTTCTTTTTTCTCAAACTCATTTTCAACCACCAATAAAATATTCTGTATGTAAGTGTAAAACTTTTTCTTACTTTTTAATCACACATTCTCCAAAAAATCACTATTTCAAAACTCATTTTAATGGTTGTCAAACGGGAGCTTAACATATTGGTCCTACTCTTGGATTATCTACCATTTATTTATGTCATTTTGCGAATTGTAAAGGATATTGTTGTTATTAGGATCCTTGCCATTTGTGTTGTAAAAAGTCGCAATTAGTAACCAAAAATTAGATTTAGCTTCATTTAACGAAGTTGCAATTACATAAATCATTTTCTTGCTGCTGGTAAAGTTTGTGAATGTCAATGCTCTATTTTTGCTTTTTCTCAAATCAAGGGTTTGTTTTATTTTATCATGAAGCTTTTCTAATTATCACAGAGAGCGCTGTTTTATTTACTAAACTTGTTTCATTTTGTTCAGGGTTTGAATCAAGGGGCAAAGAACAAGGTTGCTATCTTGGGCTCTGCAGTTCTGAATCTTGCTGAATTTGCTTCCAAAATTGAAGAGCAAGAAATTGAGCTTAAGATCCCTTTGGCAGTTTCTGGCAATGCAGCTGGGACCAGCCCCTTGCTTCATGTAAGTACTATTTTACGTATATATTATATGGCATTAACCTGTGATGAGGAATATGCATTTAACTTGTTCCTTAGTACTTTAATGATTTATTTCCTTGTACTACCAATGTCTGAATGGAAATATCTGTTTTTCATCTGTATTGCAGATATTTCTTAGCTTATTGGAATTGCGAGCTTCCCAAGAATTGACAGAGCTAGTGCAGAGGCAAATAGTTCCCATTTCGTCCCCATCACCGACTGGAGAAACTTCCTCGTCGGAGAAAGATGAGGTTTCTGCGCTTAAAGCTGGTCTCAGAAAGGTAAAAATGCTTACAGAGTATGTGTCTAATCGAAGAGCTAAAAAAGCCTGCCGTGAGGAAGAGGGTAGCGACGGGAGGGGCTCAGCTAAGAGTGAGGAGGGCGATTACACTTATAACTTTGATTCAGATTCTCTCGATGAGTTTGAGGAAGGGCAATCTGATGAAGCTAAAGATAATACTACTGTTAGGAAATCGTTTAGTTATGGGACATTGGCCTATGCTAATTATGCAGGCGTGTCATATTACTCTAGTGCTAGAATAAACTGTGAAGATGAGGATTGGATTTACTACAGCTACCGCAAATCAGATATAAACTGCTCGCACAAGGAGGATCCCGTTTCTACTGTTTCTGAGTCATCATTGTTGCAGAATTCAAAACGTAGTATTTTGCCTTGGAGGAAGAGGAAGCTGAGTTTTAGATCTCCTAAAGTCAAAGGAGAGCCGTTATTGAAGAAAGCTTATGGAGAAGAAGGGGGAGATGATATTGACTATGATCGCCGGCAGCTCAGCTCTGATGAATCTCTTTCTTTTGGGGTAAGAATTTTTAATGCTATTTTTTTCTCATAATAAGAAATAATAAAAAGTAATTTATTAGGCCCACGAATTTTAGCTTTCCTTCGGATTTATTTTAAAGAGCAAATGCATCGTTCTAAGCTAAATTCTGTATGAAGCTTTTATGGATGCTCAATTTGACTGCTACAATACGATTTTATCCTACCTCGTGGAGTGATGGATTCTGTATTTTTCTATGGTAATTTGATTTACATAAAGTGATCAGATGTTGAGAACACCTTTCCTTTTCCTTTTTTTATTTTTCTGATTTACAAATGAGTCTGTAATGCACCTTCAATGCTAATGCAAGTACTTCACCTAATCTTGTCATGACAAGATATGCCATTAGTTAAATCAAAAAATGCCACATGAATTTCAACTAATAATAAATAATTCAACTAGCCATTTCATTCTGAATATCATGATACTCTATTGCATGAAAAATTTGGGCATTCTATACGTTTACCATTTAATGTTGTCCTCAATCTTTTGAATCAAATGTTGATGTATACCACATATGCTTGATGTCTACTGTTTCTTCGGACTTGATAAGAATATGTTATGTATTGGTAATTTTTGGCAGTGGCACAAGACGGATGAAGACTCAAATCCAAATCGAACATCTGTTTCTGAGTTTGGTGATGATAGTTTTGCTGTTGGCAGCTGGGAGCAGAATGAAATAACGAGCCGAGATGGACGCATGAAGATTCAGACACAGGTCTTCTTTGCTACCATTGATCAGCGAAGTGAAAGGGCTGCTGGAGAAAGTGCATGTACTGCCCTAGTCACTGTGATTGCTGATTGGTTGCAGAAAAATCGTGATCTCATGCCCATTAAGTCACAATTTGATTGTTTAATCAGAGATGGCTCCTTAGAATGGAGGAACCTTTGTGAGAATGAAACTTACCGGGTGCATTTTCCTGACAAGCACTTTGATTTAGAGACAGTCCTCCAAGCCAAAGTCTGTGATCTCGGTGTAGTTCCTGGGAAATCATTTATCGGATTTTTCCATCCAGATGAAATGGAGGAGGGAAATTTTGATTTTTTGCATGGTGCTATGTCCTTCGACAGTATCTGGGATGAGATTAGCCGTTCAGCGTGTTTCCACACTGGTGAAGCCCCAGTTTTCATTGTCAGTTGGAATGACCATTTTTTTGTGCTCAAGGTTGAAGCAGATGCTTACTACATAATTGACACATTAGGAGAGCGATTGTATGAGGGATGCAATCAGGCTTACATACTGAAATTCGACCGGCATACAACTATATACAAACTACCAAGTATGACACAATTATCGGAAGAGAAAATTGTTGGTGATAAGCCGACTGTTGCTGAGACAGTGGAGTCCAAGAATTCAAGTGCGCAGCATATATACTCAAGGGACGATTCCAAAGATGGGACAAATGTGGCAGGACGTGAGGAACCGATGAAGAATGAAGAGGAAGTTGTTTGTAGTGGTAAAGAGTCGTGCAAGGAGTATATAAAGAGTTTCTTGGCTGCAATTCCGATTAGAGAACTCCAGGCAGATATCAAGAAAGGTTTGATAACTTCAACGCCTGTTCATCACAGACTACAGATTGAATTCCACTTCACAACGACAACCACAAGCTACCACCTCAACTCCACCAGTAGAAGTGGTCACATCCAGACCAAAAGCGGTTGATGTTATAGTGAGTTGTTAAAAGATTAGGCTTCAGAGACTTCTTTTAATTGTATATTTGTTTGAATAGTGTGATTATTTCTAACTTAATTTCGTCTTTGTGTCGTGTCTAGTTGATTAGAGTCGTCTTTAATTTTACCCTTCAAGGACTAGAGGCGAAATCGTCTCGATTGTTCTATAAGTGGCAATTCTAATTAAAGTGTGGTGACTTTCGTTCTATAATTTTGTGTCATCTCATTTTTATTTTTATTTTTTGACCTTTCTTTCCTAGGGAAATTTTGTTAATGTCAGAAGTACTTGTTTTCTTGAACTGTAAATTTGTAATAACTCTTTTGACTTGTGATTTTTATGCTAATTCTTTCAAATCAATCAAAATAAGCATTTACTTTTTATAAGATTCCCAACTTTAATTTGTTGTACCAACTCTTTGGACAGCTATGTGGTGAACTGACCTTTTGGCAAGAATGGAATATGAAATTAGCCATGATTAGGTTCGAATTTCCAGTTCGGTAATATGATTATTTTGGGGTCCATTTGTTACTTTTTCAGGGGGGTTACTGTTCCATTAGCTGAACTTTTAGTTGTTTGCACAAATTTTACGATCCCCATTAACTAAGATGTTGATGCAGGATAACGTTACAATATAGGAATTATAAAAAGACCTGAAGCTAGCAAGTATAAATAACAATAAAACTATCTCCAAGATAATTTTTAAATATAAAAAGTCTTCTAATTGAAGAGTTAAGAGTAATTTAAGAGATTTTCTAAATAGAAAATGCTCTTTATTTTAAAGAGCTAATATTTAAAAATAAGTTTTAAGACTATTTTAAAGAGCAAATATTTAAAAATAAGTTTCAAGAGACTCTTTATTTTAACTTTTTAGAGTATTTGAAAGAAACTCCTTAAGTATAAGATACTCTCTATTTTGAAGAGTTGATCCTTAAAATTATGTATGAGAGACTCTTTAAATTAATATTTTAATTTAGGTAGTAAGTTTGACTTTCTAAATTTGGAGAGACATAATATTTCAATTTTCAATGGAAGAAAATACTATAATAGTTTAGAAGAAAACTAGTGAAAATAAAAGATAAGAAAAAATAATAAATATTTTTTTGTGAATAGCAAAATTAAGTGTTAAATATAAAGAGTCTGTTAAAGTACTTAAAATTTTTACTTTCTAAATTTAAAGTTGATCTCTAAATCGTAGAACATGCTTTTAAAAATAGATATTCCTTCCGTCCCAATTATATAGGCTTATTTCGTTTTTCACACGGATTAAGAAATCTTTTTTAATGTCATTGAAAAATTATTTTAGCCAAAATCTTTCATAGTTTACCCCTATTTAATTTTTAGTATACAGTAGTAAATTATTGTTAGAATTAGTAAAGAATTTAAATGATTTAATTTGAAGAAGAAGAAATGAGAGTTGTTCCATGTTTTAAAGAAGTGAGAAATGTGCGTATTTGAATGATTTCAAGAAATTGACACATTAAGTGAGAAAAATTGAATAAGAGTATATTAAAAAATGAACAAAACAAAATATTATAAATTAGGAAAAAAGCCTATATATTTGGGACAAATGAAAAAGGAAACTCAGCCGGCATAATTGGGACGAAGGGAGTAGTCTCTTGGAGATGCTGTTAGAATAGAGGGTGAGCCTTGCTCTTTTAATATACAATGATTGCATTTAATAATTCACAAATTTCAAAATTCTATTTTTTAAACTATTTAAGTCAAATTTAGCCCTGTTTGACAATTATTATTTGGAAACTTTTTTTTTTTTTTACATACTCAATTTCAATCTTATATTCATACAATAAAATATTATACATGTAGATTCAAAACTTTTTTCCACTTTTTAACTATATATTCTTTTAAAAATCACTATCAAAATATTATCTTTCTCAAATAATGACTGTCAAACAAGATCTAAATTGACTGATCATTGACATATAAAAATTAAGTTAAATTAAAATATGAGGAAAAATTAAAAAATGTTTTTTGAAAAATGTAAAATAAAGAATCAAAATAGAGAGCCTTGTTGGAATGCAGAAAAATTTTGATTCTTTAAATGTAAAGATAATCTCTATAATGTATAAGATACTCTTTATAAATAAAAAATCTCTTAGAGATAATCTAATGCTTAGATTAAGTTTTAAAAGGCTCAAATTTAACTTTTTAAAATAAAGAGTGAGTTTAAATGTCTAAATTTAGAAAGTAAAATTCAGTCTCTATTCTTAGCCCTTATTTGAGCCATATTCTTCTAAAATTCATTTTTTTCAAAATTTATTTTCAACTACATATTCTTTAATGTTAACACGCAAATTTAAAACTTTTCTTAATTTTTAACAACTCATTCTCCATCAATCACTATTTAAAAATGCATTATTTCCCTTAAAATGGAGCTCAAACAAGGGCTTAATGTACAATGCTTCCATTTGATAAGTCACTTCCTAAATTATTCAAAATACATTTAAATTGGTTGATCATTAACATATAAAATTTATGTTAAATAAAATATGATGAGAAATTAATAAATGTATCTTTATATGAGAAAAATGAAAAGTCAAAATAGAGAATATTGTTGGAGTGCATAAAAATTTCGATTCTCTAAATTTAAAAATAATCTTTATAATGCATAAGTTACTCTTTATAAATAAAGGAGTCTCTTGAAAATACTTTAATAATTAAAAATAAGTTCTAAGAGATTCTGTATTTTAACATTTTAAAATAGATAATGAGTTTAACTATCTACATTTAGTTAGTCAAACTTAATTTCTATTCTTAATATACAATGATTGTACTTAATAAGTCACGAATTTCAATATTCTACTTCTTAAATTATCCAAAATACATTTAAATTGATTGGTCTTGACATATGGGATCAGCCTCGAGAGTTTGAGGCCCTAGGTTATTAATTATTATGATGCCCTTAACATAACTTCTTTTTTTCAAACGTAGATAAATAAATAACATATTTATATTTCGGAACCGTTTCTCATACTCAAAAGTTGACACACTTATTTGACAAATAATCATGACTTTTAATTTAAATCAATCCAACGCTCAATATGTATGTCACTAAGATCATAGAAGAATTTGTTATAAGTACTTGAGATCTATAAGATATTAAGGATTGGAATAATTTAAATTAATTGCTACAATTAATTTTCAAATAAGTATATCAAATTTATGAGTATGAAGAACTATTCCGTTTATATTTTAATTAAAAACTTTGTACAATCTAAAAGATCGAGAAGCAAATAAATTATTTTTGAGAACTCAAAAATTATGGTAGCATAATATTTAGCAAAATTATCTCGTTCGTAGATAAAAATGTTATCATAGTGTAAATAATAATATCCAAGAATTATTAATTTGAAAAACACAAGGTACAATTTAGCGAATTCTAGAAAGTTTAAAAATTAAAGTGGAAATAATGAGAAAATTTTAAGAACCATAAGGATGACTTGTAAGGAGAAGAGTGATTTTCAAAGATTAAAAACGAGATGACCATAAATACAAAAAGTGTAAAATTTAGGGACTCAAATATAAATAGTGAGAAAAAAATATTTTAAACCATAAGGTGACGAGTTAAGATTATTTAGTGATGAGACAGATCATCAAAATCTAATGATTTTGATTTGAGAACCTTTTCGTGACTTTGAGATCTTGAGGGATTAAAGTAAAATAAGATTCTAGGTCAATAATATATTTAATCTAAATGTGTACTTATTAGATGATCGAGAATTGCTCTATCAATATTGGACTCATTTCGAAAATCATATTAAATGGTACATTAATGACTCGAGAAAAATTTAATTTAGACAACCAAGTTTGAGTTATATAACATTAAAGTATACTACTTGATAAATAGTACTCCATCCGTCTCATTATATTTTTACATGGATTAAGAAATCTTATTTAATGTTATTGAAAAATCATTTTGTTGTCAAAAACTTTTCTAGTATACCATTATTTATATTTGTACAATTTCAAGATTAAGAAAGAAAAATTAGTTATAACTAAATAAATTAAATAATAATATATTAGTAAACAAACAAAATAGAACTTTTTTAATAAAAAGACATGACTACATAATTGGAACAAAATAGAGGGAAAGTCATGTTATATAAATGAGATGGAGGGAGTATTAGTTTTCAAATTAGATCATATTACAATAGCAATATTTGGCTTCAATTTATCATATATATTAAGCTCGAGAAAAAGTTATTTTAGATAAATCAAATCAAGTTATAAAAACCTTTTTTTGACATTATGCTTAACACCTACCCCAATTTTCCAAATTTTTTTTGTTTCGTTTTCAATATCGAAATTTAGTTTAATGCACAACCATTTTCCCAAGAAAGTGGTGCAAAATTTTCGAGAAAAGATAACTATGCACCTCATATAATTTTTTTTTTAATTTTTGGCAAAAAGTGTTGACCTCGAAAATTGGACCTTCTACGTGGCCAACTGAGAGCTACTCCACATATTCCTCCATGTGCACAATCAACGTACGGTCAGATGCACACGGTCGGGACCAGCGGGGATGGTGGCGGCCGTATACACTCTGACGGTCAAGTCAGGTTCAGGTGGTCAGAACAGTACACAGGGGTTGTACAAAATAATAAGGGGGAGGAGAAAATATATATATGCTTGCTATGGAGTGCTATGTAGTAAGAGTTTCATTATCTTTGCCTCTTACCAACCCTTGGGTATTTATAGGTGGGATGAACTGTTGGATATGGGGCACGTGTATACATCTGACGGTATGAGGTGTTTGCTCATAGGCGTCAATCAACCGCGTCTGTAGAGTGGGCGGGTAATTGCTTCTCCCGAGTTGAGTTGACATAAAGTTGATAAGTCATATCAACTAACCTCATGGAGACGTCAAATCAATTTAAACCTTAGGGGCATAAAGGATCTTGGCAAAGATCTCCTCCTGAAATTGGCGGCGAATTTTCTGACAGAGGTCCCCGGAGTGCACTTCGCCTCAACCTCAGGGGCGAGGGCGCTTCGGTCAGTTCAGCAGGATCGCCTATGTCTCGCAGTGTGATAGCAGGTCGTTGACATTGGGGAGATCACTTCGGAACCACTTCGGGTGGGTGTCTAGCAAATCGGAATGTGTGGTGGTGGACATTCCGAGATGGTTCAGATAGGAGCGTAACATTGGTCCCCCAAGTCCAGGTATGAATATTTATATCGTGGGTGGACTTGCCTACCCGACCGAATGTGTAAGCCTCGGTACGTG